CTCCTCCCTTCTTGAAGATACTTATTTAGCAACATATGAATGCCTTTCAGGTGAGAGAGTTCTAACTGAAGTCTCAAAGGGCATCTAATTGATCCAAGTGCTCTGAGCAAATATTTCTAGGGCTCAGTGTTTCTGTAAAGTACTTCAAGGGCCAGTTACTTGAAGGAATATTTTATAAAGTGATTTTTGTCAAAAACACCATCATGAGAATATTCAATTTTATCTTGGTGCTCTGAGACAGATGGTGATTTTTGTATAAGAAGACTGTGAAATGAGTTTCTCTTAAAACTTGCTACATGCCCCTTGAACCATCACCATGTATTGTCATTTTACAGAGTCTATAAGAACACAGACCTCTCCCTACAATCACGTCAGTGGATAGGAAGCTTGAAGGAGCTTCCACATATGGCATGATGCTGAGGGTCTAGATGCTCATGAGCGTCATGAAGTGGCAGCTTTCGTATAGAGTGATTCCCTCCATCCTTGAGGGGAATGTACTAGATAAGAGAGTGAAAGCAATTTGAACAAAGCCAACAACCTACTTCCTGACTTTAAATGGTTCCCACCCAGCTTCCCACTTGAGATCACCAGTAAACAATGTAAAAGACACTTAAGGTCAACAGGCAAGTCTTTTGAGTACTTGAATTTGGACTCTCACCTTTGAGTGCTCTAAAGTTGGACACTCTCACCTTTGCTGATCACACACACTGTAAACACCCTCACCTGAACACCTTCCAAATAAGATATTTTCTCCTTGAAAAGGAGCCCTTGAAATGCATCTGAAAGTACCAAGATATTGAGCCATCAGGATCTTGCCATAGATCATGATCTTGATGAGGTTCACTGAGTATCCCCAAGTGAATGAGATGCTCTGGGACACTAGGGCTCCGAGACTACACCAACCTTGTGGCATGTTCAGCTGAGCTGCAGGCTCTGGCTGACCACACGTACAAATGACAATAATGCTTGCAGATCTAAAATCTTCCACCAAACTAAAGCCTAAAGAAATTATTTCTAATAGTTGTCCTTCTGCTTACTTTGTACTTGATTTTATATATATGCATATATAATACTATAATGAAAATTATTACATACACACATATGTCTTGTGTATATAAATTATTGAAAATTCCAATGCATATATTTGGACCTTCTTAATGGTCATTATAGTGTGATGGCTCCCATAACACATGGCTCACATGAAGGATTATCTCATGACATACCCGGAAAATCTTGTTACCAAACTTGCACACTTTGACGTCTTCTGGGGGCACTTGTAGGAGACACTCTTCACAACAGGCCTCTGCATCTTTGTCACAGGCACCAGGGTGGGAGCACTTCTTCTTACACACCATTGTAGAGTCCTGAAGGTACAAAGGCAGACTAGAAATTAAAAATTACTTTCATCTCTCCCAAGCATCCTTCTACCCTCTTTGAACAACTCACAACAGTTCTAAAACTTATGTTTTAATATGGTGCAATAAACCTTTTATTCCCTTCAAAATATATTTGCTGGCTAATATCTACAGAATACACACATTCTCTGTTTTCCTTCTACCTGTTTATAACTTCATGCTCAAGAACTCCATTCACTCCCACCAGAGTGGGAAAGTCCAGCTCACTACTGGTCCATTTCCTCTTCCTGCCCTTTTTCTTTCATTTTCTGTATTAACAGAGCTTACTGAGGTCTTCTCTTCAGCTCTGTGTTACCTTTCAGAGTTTATCATGAAAGCAGAAAGACACCTTTGATGAAAGATAAAAAATGAAGAGCTCAGACTAGCCCATTTCCTCTTCCTGCCCTTTTTCTTTCATTTTCTGTATTAACAGAGCTTACTGAGGTCTTCTCTTCAGCTCTGTGTTACCTTTCAGAGTTTATCATGAAAGCAGACAGACACCTTTGATGAAAGAGAAAAAATGAAGAGCTCAGTAATAACCTCCACATGAAATTGCTTGAGTCTGCTCTGTGCTCACAGAAGGACTGAACAAGCAATTTAAATACTGGACTTGAGGTCTGAAGCTCTACTCTAAAAGATATGTTCTTGACTAGGCCACTTAACCTTTGAAGATGACAAGTTCTATCTGTAACTTTAAAGAAGTTGCCTTGATTTCTGAAGACGTGCTTTTTTTCTAAGACTTCTTAGGTTTACTGTGCATTTTAAATGTTATATACACGGCTGCCTTTAAATCCCAGTACTCAGAAGGCAGAGGTAGGCAGATTTCTATGAGATTGAGGCCCATCTGGTCTACACAGTGAGTTCCAGGTCAGCTGAGGCTAGAGGAAGACTCTGTTTCAAAACACAAAATGTTATATATGTGGCATGTAGAGATTATTATGAACTAACTCATAAACTAGAAAAATTAATCCTTTGTCTAGTTTGAAGAACAGTTTTCAATACATACTTCACTGTTGATCTTCCAGGTTTTCTTAGCTGTCACTTTAATGATTTAGAATCACCATGGAAATACAGTTCTGAGTGTGTCTATTTTTCCAGAAATGTTTGATCAAAGACAGAAAACACAGCAGGAATCTCCACAGCACCATTCTATGAGCTGGGGCCCCATACTAAGTAAAATAGAACGTGAGTTGAGGACCAGCATTCACCTATTCTCTGTTTCCTGTTCGAGGATGCATGGCAACCAGAAGCCTCAGACTCTTGCCACCATGATAGAGTGTTTCAAGTTGAACTGTGAGTCAAAAAAACCCCTTCCCTACTTATGTTGCTTCTTGTCAGGCAGTTTGGTCACAGCAAAGAGAAAAGTAGCAAATACATCCATGTCTATATGTTCTGCACCAATAGTACTCGGTATCTAGTACTCGGGTAGCAATAAGAATATATAGAATTTCTGTCCTCAGAGGGCTCAAAGTATAAGAGGACAGATAGCCTGAGAAAAAGGTAAATTACAATAAAATATGGTGACTAGAACAATAAAAGCATAAAGGAAGCAGAAAAGAAAGAACAACTGCTTATCTAGGTAAGTCGGGAAAGTCTCTTTGGAAGAGATGACATCTGACGTGTATATTTAGGTGGAGAAGAGTTGCTAATCAAATTTAAAGGCTAGGACACTTTGTAGAGAAATCTCCAGATTTAAAGGACTAGAAACCATATAGCATCCAGAGAACTATGAAACTGTTTCCTGTACCTGCCCTAGAAATCTGGAAGCACCCTAAGTGGGACTGTTAGAGAGGGAAGTCCTACACTGACAGAAAATAATATTGATTACCACAACTGCAGTCTGACTTTCCAAATGGCTGTCACTCGTATCCTGAGAAATCAGTCTCTTTCAGGAAAAGTTTGGAACACATGACCTAATTATCTCTCACAGATTTCCTAAGCCCTAAAGTGATATAAACATCACTGTGGAGTGACTGACTGTCAGCAAGCAAGAGAATTGGGAGGGTGATGCATTTTAATAAAGGCTCAGTAGCTGGAGGAGGAAGTTGTAGCCTGTGAAGTTTTGGTGGTGATATGAAGTCTTGGGGATGGAGGCCAAATTTAAAAGAGGGAATTCCTCTCTATGTGTACATATAGTCCAAGCATGGTGGTACACACTATTAATATGGAGGCAGAGCCAGGTGGATCTCTGAGGACAGCTTGGTCTATATATCTACTACATAGAAAGTTCCAGGCCAGCAAGGGTTACATCACCAGAAGGTGTCTCAAACAAAACAAAACAACTCATATACAGCAGTGTATACAAATAGAGTTGTTATGGATGATTAGCTTAGCAAGGGTCATGCAACAAACAGGAGAAGGAAGGTACCTCATAAGAGTATTCTTAGACTTGGAAATTCCTGTGATCAGTGCCAGGATGCAGACAGTACAACCCTTATCCAGTTGGCCCTGAAGTGGGCAGCTCCCTAGCAAAGCATGCCTCAAGTAATCAAGAACTTCTGTACTCTCATCCTAGCTACTGACTCATACTGACACTGAGCATAGCCCCTGTTCCCTCTCTATTTCTCTAGCTATTAAAAACAAAGTAATAATCCCCACCAAAATAAATTATTCTAAACTCATGTCACCCAGACAGGTGGGTTAACTCACTGAATAGTGCTAAAGCCTTCATGATAAATTCTCTTCTTGAATTCAAGTGTGATTCACCACACAGAAACAGCCTATGGATGTGTATGATGTGTATCACTGTAAAACTGTAGACTTGAGGAATCTTTCTTTAATAAGAATTAGATTCTTTTTGTCCTTTGAGAAAAGCAAGCAGGGCTCAAATAAGACATTGTACAGTAAGTAACACATAAATTCTCTCTTCCTAAACTTCCAGGTTTATCTCTGTGATGGACTGTAAATCCATGCCTTCTTCTTCTCCTGAATGATGGTAAAGCTATTTACATTGCCAAGTATTCTACAGAATTCATCCTGGATAGATGGAGCCTGAGAACAACCATTTGTATTTGTCTGATATTCAGAGAGTCCTTAGTACAGCTGCTCAGAGAGTAACTTTTACCACCCAGAGATATTTTTGTGACCTAAAGTATGACTGTACTGGTCAAATGGCATCAACAGCCCTTCTTCATAAACAAAACACTATCATATTTGACTGTAACTGCACTGTAATCTAACACATTTTTGGAGCGTGGCCCAGGCCCTCAGAGACCCCTTACCTTGCAGGTACATGTTGTATAGTTGTCATACAGAAATGAGGATCCATTGTCATAAACATCACTATGAAAGAGGCAGCTCCCAAAAGGAAGGTCAGATACTTTCCTCTGACCTGCAGGAAAGCAGTAGAAAGAATAATGTAAACAAGAGAGAAGCCAGGCATATCCTACTTTATCATCAACAATTACCTCCATCATAGGACTGTCAAACATTCTCACAAGACAGGTAAATCTGGTGTACAAAAATGAGCTCTGGGTCAAATGTAACCAGGAGGTCCCCAAGAATTATCAGTTTGAAGAGTCATTGCATAAAAGTTTAATTACACAATGAAATGTACAGGTTCAAAAATTGTTATTACAAGTCACTACAGTGGACATATCAGTATTTCAATATGACAAGCTATAGAGTTTTTGAAGGATGTGATACTTCTGTTGCGTCTTAAAAAACAAGTAGTAGCCAGGCGTGGTGGTGTATGCCTTTGATTCCCAGTACTTAAGAAACAGAGGCAGGCAGATCTCTGTAAGATCAAGGTAAGCCTGGTCTACATAGTGAGTTCCAAGCACACTGGGGCTATAGGAAAACCTTACCTAAAAAAAAAAAAAACCAGTAGCTTTATCCATCAAAGAAAGAATGGTAAAAGAAATCAAGATATCTTAAGGATTGTAACTAGCAAAAGGAACTAATGAAATTAACATTAGCATCTGTTATGGTCTAAATGCCTATGTCCCCACAAAATTCATATGCTGAAATTAATCACCAGCTAATGATGTGAAGAGCTGAGAACTTTGATCAGTACTTAAGTCAGAGGGTGGAACCCCCACTGAAGCTCCTTTATGAAACAGGCCTCAGAAAGTCTCCTTCTCCCTCCCACCAAGAGGAAGAGCTATGAGCTAGAGAAAGCCTTCAAAGAGTCTGCAAGAACATTAATCTTGTGTTTTCCAGCCTCCCAAACCATGAGAAATACATTCCTGTTATTTAAAAGCTAGTCAGTCAATGGTATTTTTTTATAATAGCCTAAATAGATTCACACATAAACTCAGTAAAGAAGCTATGCAAAGGTATAAAAGGTAAAATTAACACATGAAGGCTGACCCCAATTCCACATGCCAAGTGTCCAACCTTTCAGAGGCACAATATCTGTGTAAATGGTCTGATTTCTCCCTGATGTCAGGACTGGATTGGTGACCACAGAGCCAAAACAGTATTCTTAGATAAGGAATAGGACACATTTTTCCCTTTCAACACTTGAATTTCTACTCCCTGGAGCACATGGGACCATCTCCAAAATGTTATTTAATTAAAGACTAAGTTAAGAAACCTGTAATTCATGTTCGCTGAACAAATTTATAGCCACACTCCTCTTTCTTCTTAAGAAAGATTAATAGCAATCTCTATTAGTAGGCCTCCTGGACTCTCTACCAGCACCTACTCACATATTAAACTCTGTCTCACAATTGCAGTTGACAAAAATTCCACTCGTAGGAGTCAAGAAAAAAAAAAGGCTGTCTTTCTATCAGTGGTCAGTGCAGACCCAGCACTAAATCATCCGTTGGGTCTCAGCATGACAAATGATCTTGCCAGAACTCAGAAGATGACAGTGTGTTATACTTTGAACCCCATATTTGGAGTCCATAAAACCTCATATACAGATCTTTAACGACCTTATCTCTGAACTCTCTCTGGACCTCTCTGACTTCACTCATGACGTGGTATCAGCAGTGCTCCTGTGCTGTGTTGTTTCTACCTGCAGTGGTAAAATGTACACCCAAAGTTATCTCGAGGTGAGACAAAATTAGCATAAGCATTTTTCTTGATGTATATGTGTGTGTGATATATGTTGCACGTGTTCCTGTGTGTTCACGCACATGTGAGTGCAGCTGTGTGTGGATGCATGTGGATATATCTGGACATACATACGGATGCCAGACGTGGACATCCGGTATCTTCCTCACCACTTGCCCTTTTATATATTAAGGTTGTTCTCTCACTTGGATCCAGAGCTCAAGGATTGGGCTTCTCTAGCTAGTCAGCTTCAGGGGTCTTCTGTCTCTACTTCCCAAATGATGGGGCAATAGACTAGCCACCGTGTCTGTCTGGCATTTACATGGGTTCTAAGGATCTAAACTCTGTTCTTCACACCTCCATGGCAAGTGCTTTTGTCCACAGAGCTATCTCCCCATCCCATAATCATTAATATCCCAACTAATATATAATTCTTATGTGCTCAAACATGTCTTGGTATCCTTTAACTTCCTACAAAATATGAAATTCACCCCTTCTCTGAATATTCCTCTAAGGAATCCCTACAGTGATATTCTGAAGCATGAGAAACCTGTGTGACCAGAATCACGTGATGGACACAACCCATTATAATCACTTCTGCCTAACCACATCATAGTTTTAGGACATCATAGTATAAGACATAGTAACTAGGTTTCAAATATTTACTAAAATGATGGTATTCTTTTTTTTACTAAGCTAAACATTATTATCTTTTTATCAATCTATTGGAGATATGTTTCAGTCCTTTAACAAGCAGAATATAGTCTAGATAATATAGAATATAGTAGAATTCTGTTTCAGTTAAATAATTTGTAAAGTTGTGTCCTGGTTACTTTGTTCTATATTTTATCTATATGTACTTCAGGTATTCTACAAGTGACATCAATTTTTTTCTGGCAAAATGCAAATGTGTGTGTGTGTGTGTGTGTGTGTGTGTGTCTGCACAAAACTCTTTAAACTCTTTACAGAGCTGGACATGGTGGCACGCACTTATAATTCTAGCACTTGGGAGGCTGGGGTAGGAAGAACACAACTTCAAAGTCAGCTTGGCTTTCATAGCAAGGATCGGTCTCAAAAATATGTGAACAAAAATCTCTATGTAGAAATTTAATTTTTTTCATGTCTGAGGCCCACATTTCCTCCCCAGAGGTCAGTTCATCTCAGAATACATGGCCACTTCCAGTCTGTTCATAGCCTTTTGTTTGGACTGTCATTATTGTACTTAGTATTCTTGTGTAGGAGAATAGATAGCTGGGTGAATAGATATTGATAGATGACATATAGATGATAGATAGATAGATAATAGATAGTAGATAGATGATAGATAGATAGATAGATGATAGATAGGTGATAGATAATAGATAGAGATAGATATATAATAGATAGATAGAGAGAGAGATAGAGAGATGATAGATAGATGATAGATAGCTAGATAGATGACAGATAGATAGATGATAGATGGATATATAAACTAACTGATCTATTGATGAACTGCTGAATAGACACTGTAACATTTTTATTTCCCTGAATGGATGTGACAAATGGCTTAAATTACTCCTCACAAAAATGTAAATTGTATCTAGAACTATGGATATAAATCTAGCAAAGGGTCTGACATTCATCAAAACTCCCAGCAGATAGCAGATGATAAGTATTACTATTAATGATGATATAATTCCAATATCATCTTGGGTCGTGCCATATGGAGAGGTGCTCTGTATCCTGCTCTTTGATGAGATGTTCCATTGAGAATGAAAAAAGCGAGGAAGGAAATGCTGCAATGCAAACATCAGAGGTGTGTTGTGTGCAGGCATCCTGGTCAATGGAAAATCTCTGAGCAACTCAGAGCCTAGTCATCCAGAAGTCTAATTACACAGATTTCAGCAACTAGAAACCATCCTGGTTGTGCTTTTATCTCTCTGTTGTTTTGTTGTGTTGATATGTTTCTTTTTACCACAAAAGAACTCAAAATCTCACCTTAATCCCAAAGTCATCATAGCTCAACATAAAACATGCAAGGGAGTGGTTCAGAGGCTTGGTGGACAGCTTGATTTAAGCCACTTCATGGAGGTTTAGCCCAACCAAGAAAAAGATCTCATTTGGGTGAGTTATGATTTTCAACTTTCCCAAAACTTATGATCATTTTATAGTTTATCTTAAAACCACAAGTGATCAATAAAACCTGTACTTAATACAAAACTCACTGCTCATGTGAGGAGCTTCTAAACTGACTCAGCATGTCCAGAACATCTGCTTCAAAGCATTAATGAGGTCTACTTATCTGCAAGCTAGGTCCAAATACCACTTCCTCTTTGATGGACTCCCACTTGGATGGAACAGATTCAACCCCATGCTTAGCAGCACACTGACTTCACGTTGGGGGAAC